CTACTCTATATTTTTCTCTTTTTAATAGCTCACAGGAGTTTCACATATGTACAGCCCATAATATTATTGCCTTATAATCCTTATGTGACTTTCCCTGTCTCTGAATTCTCTCGGAGCAGTTACCCAGTCTGCCCACGCACTCTCAGACTTTAGTCTTGTGAAGCTGCTAATGTGTGTTTTTACTTCCAGATTGACAGGATCCAATGCTGCAAACCTAGGCATGTTCTCATGACGTTCCCATATTTCTATAGATATAAATTTCCTAGAGCAAAACTCTTGTTGTTTATCGGTTTAATTTATTCTTCTTTTAATGATATGTTAAGGTGGAAGCTGAGGTGACCTCAATGATTTGTGACCTTACAGATTACACACACATTTAATGCAACAAATTCAGTTTCACAAATTCACTTCCCCTTGCAGCTCACACATTTTAATATGCCATGTTTTTTTTCCATTCAAAATAGTTTCTAATTTCTCTTTTCATTTGTTCACCATGCCTTCTTTAGTAGTGTGTTGTTTGGTTTCCACATATGTTGGGATTTTTCTGATGACTTTGTGCTATTGATTTCTTATGTACTCATCTTAGATTCAGAGAACACACTTGGTATGATATGAATCCATTCAATTTTATTGACTTATCTTTTGGCTTATAATATAAACACTCTTAGTAAATGTTTTGAAAATATATATTCTCCTCCTTTTGTTGGAGTAGTCACTAACATTCAATAAGGTTGAGATGGTTGAAAGCACAGTTCAAGTTCTCTGGGTCCTTGCTGGCCCACTGGCATATCTACATCATCAGGTCTCTATCTTTCTTAGGGGGGCAGGGCAAATAGCACTGGGTCTTCCCCACAGATCTAGACTTTAGGAATCCTTCTTCCTACTACTGCAGGCAGCATGGACTTTATCTCTATCAGTTTTCCTCCAAACATAGAGACCTTTTATGTCACTTTGCTGACAGGGAGTTCCCCACGCTCCCTTTGGCTCTTTCCACACTGCTGCATCCACCAGGGTACTTGCATATTGTCCCCCTAGGGAGGACCTTCCCCTGCAAGTCTGAGATAAAAGCTCAGTTCTAACCTTGCCTTGATTAGTCAGGTCTCTTCAGTTCAACTATCTCAAAATAGGTTTCCTGCTCAGCTCCTGGGGCTGCTGATGCTCTGGATCCCTGGTTAGGGCAGAAGAAGATGA